ATTGCACCCCTAACTGCTTGCTCCCCTGCTGGCCTGATCTCCCCTAACTGCCTCTGCCTCAGCCCCCGCCACCATGGCTTTGTCTAGAAGGAAGTCGGACGTCCAGAAGATGTCCGGTCAACCCAGTCTAATTAGCATATTACCCTTTTATTAGTATAGATTTCCTAAGGATAAATTTCTACCAGTAGAATTAGTGTGTCAAAGAGCATGTACATCTTTTTTGTCTTTTTAAAAACATATTTTTATTGATTTCAGAGACAGAGGAAGGGAGAGTGACAGAAACATCAATGATGAACCAGAACTTGGCTGGAGATCCTGGCTAGAGATGCTGGCTAGGCTGCTGATCAACTGAACACTGTTTCTGTGTCATTCCTTCATCGCCGACTCTGTCCACACCTTGGGGAACCCCTGGACCTGCTGGGGCTGGACCCCAACAATAACCCAGATAAAATCGAACCAGGCTTTTTTTGGGGGGAGGGGGGGCGCTTGTTTAAGAAAGTGATAATGCCTCAGGTATTTGGGCTAATGGAAGAGGATATGATTGGAGTTGAATTTCTTGAATTTGAATCTTAATTCTGCTACTTACTATGCGCAGAATCATAGCAGGTGGTCAATAAATACTCATGAAGTCAACAAATGGATTGAGGAACGGCTGAGTTTTCACATCCGGAAAGGCGAGGAATGTTACACTTCATGGGAATTCGTGGGGGGAATAAATGATTTGAGAACTTCCAGTCCATGGCTTTTATTGGATACCCACTGTTACTAGGATTATTGTGTAATGGGCAATTATGTGCTTCCCTGTGAAGTACATAAATATTCTCAAACTCTGAAGGTTTTTATGTCTATCACACAGGAAGACCCAAATATTTCTTCTTCTAGGTCTTTCCCATCTTGAAATGGAATAAAGCAGGTTCACGGGAACGTGGCTGGCACGATCGCCATCTGGCGGCCACAAGTGCAACTAGCACCCTCTGACCTGGGTCATCATGGGCTCTCCAGTCTAAGACAAGGCAGATCTCCTTTCAGCTGCAAAGTTGACAGCTTCTTGGAGGTAATGTAGTGAGGTGAGCACCGCATGGCTGTGCAATCCGTTGGTCCCAGTCTGACCTCTATCACTTATTGGGGTGAAACCATGAAGAACTGCCGGAAGCCAGTCCATCCTTGCTGCTTGATACAGTCGCTGCAGAAAAGAAACATCTGCACAGCATGTTTCAAGGGACCTGGTGTATATAGCATACTGTTCTTGATATGTTTGCTCCCTTTCTTGGAGCTATGTGTTTTAACCAAGGTCACCTCTCTGAGAAAGGTTGTTTCCCCAGGTAGGGATTTTCCCCTGAAGTTATGGAGGGAATAAAACCCCTTAACTAAGTGCCAGGTGGGTAGTTAATCACTTTAACTACGAACAATCACGCTTAAGCTACATAATCTTTACTCCCTGGAATGGAGATAAGAAACGCCCTAACCTTTGGAATAGAAATTGACAGGATTAAAATCAACTGGTATAAATACAGATGTAACAAGACAACAGGACACAGAACCTAGAGACAGGACTTGGCTGGAGATCCTACACAGAACCTAGAGACAGAACCTCCATGAATGCGACTCACTCCCACTGCTCAACTATATTTCTCACCACTCCCTCTTCCACACTTTGTACTCAGGCAGGCCAGCCTTCTCTCTGGAGCAGCATTCCCACCTCCATGCCTTTCTTCCCACCATTCCTTCCTTCTCCAATGCTCTTCTGTCCTGTTTTTATCCTATCCTTTAAGCCCAGCTTACTTAAGCATCCTCTCCTCTGTAAAACTTTGCCTAAGCACTGTTACCTACAGAACTTTCTGCCCTGATGGGGAGAGTCTGACCGAAGGGTCTGACCATGATCAGAGACACCTAGTTTTGTTACTATCATTTTGTTTCGGTACTTCTTGCCTTTCCAAATAGATCACAAACTCAAGGAAAAAGACATGTCTTTTTACTGCTTCAAACACACAACTTTATTGATGACAAAAATAAAATCTCAAATGTATAAACGTAAGTCCACACAAAGGACCAAAGATTACCTTACTTATGAAGAATTGGCTTAGTTTCTGCTCATGAAGCATACTAAAAACATCTCGATCTAGACAAGGTAAAAAGCAACACATGTATTTTCAGTACAAGTTTGAATTAATCTGGTGTTCATAAAGTGGTCCAGCAACAAACCATCATAAATAACATCAGTATCAAAGTTAAAATGCAATTTACAAAGTGTATTACCCCCAGGATGCAAAACCAAAATATTACTCAGATTTGTTTGGAAACATACAACTAATTAAAGTTTACTTAATAATAGCTCAACTCTTTTTTTCACCTCAGGGTCTTTGTATTCTGCTGCTAAGACTCGAAGTTTCTTGGCACATGCTTTAGGTCGTTGGAATACAAAGTAAAGGGAATTTTTACTGAAACTGTCCTGGGTAAATACTCTTGCTCTTCTTTTAAAATGGTCATTTATATTTTCAAATAGTAAAAGAGCATTAATAATATTCTCTTTTGCCTCTTTCTTGCTAAAAATATTAATTATTGATGTTGGTGCACTGGCTATGAGCAAATCTTTTGTCATAGATGGATTTTTAGAGAAATTCAAAAGCATACCCAAAATATGTTCTTTCGTTTCTCTACCTCCCACAGTTAACAAACGAAGAAATTCTGAAATATAATTTGTAACCATATGCTGATATTCACTAATTATAGTCAGGTGCCTTATCAATCTTAGTCCAGCCAGCTGCACATTTGAATTCAAGGGATAGGTGACAGTATCTTCACATACTTGATTTAAGTATGTTTTAACCTTCCTATGATTTTCAGCAGCCACCGAGATGTTATTTAGTGCATTTAAAGCCTTCTGCCTAACACTGGGGTGGGGATTATTGAGCAAGCTTTCAATAATTGAGATTCTACCTGCATTATGAATGACTTCATGGGAAAATGGATAATCGGGACTGTTAAATAGAGCATTATTGGCTATTTCATGAATAGAAGGTTCTTCAGTCATCTCAATCATGCAAATGAGTTTTTCAAGCTCTCGTGGATCCATGTTAGTTTTGTGTTTACAGTGGAAAGGCCAGGGCTGAGCTTTCGCCCCGGACCTGATCTGCTTTCTGAGGCCATCTTCAGGTAGTAAGCAGGGTTCATTTTGGTATGGATATTTCATTTCCGTCCAGATCATGGTTTCTGCCCATGATCCCATTCCTGCCCCAGGAACCATGGACGGATATGTGCCTCTAGACTCAGATGATTTTTTAGTCTTAGGTGCAGATTTGTTTCCACTTCTGTTTTCATTACCATCCCTGAACCAAGACCTTATATCAACTCCACCAGCAGCCTCAAGCTTATCCTTGTCTCCAGCCCCACACTCAAAACTGACATTTTTCTCACTCTTGGATATGCACTCATTGTTCTCACTCTCAGTCCAAAACAAGGATCTTAAACTGATCTCCTCAATATCAGGGCTAGATGCTCTACTTAGTTCATCTTCATCTATATCCTCAGCCAAAGTCCAGGACCTCATGCCAGGCCCTTCCCCAGCCCCAAGCCTAGACCCTGAAGTGGTTGTATCTTCATCCCAGAGCCAAGACTCTTTCCTGGCCTCAGCCCCCACAAAGGAATCCATAAAGGCCTCCTCTTCAGATCTACTCCAGGACCCAATACTGGCCTTGTCCTCATCCTCAAATATGGAACTAATGATAATCTCTTCCTCAGTCACTGATCTGGATTCAATACTGGGTTCATTTTTATATCCAGATCTGGACACAATACCAGCCTCTTCCCCTCTCCAAAACCAGGATCCTGTACTAGCTTCAATCCCAGCCCCAAGCCAGTACCCTTCATTGTCCTCCACCCCAGCACTGACCTGGGACCTTCCACTGGCCTGGTCCCTAGTCCTAGCCCAGGACCCCCCACTTGTCTGACTTTCAGGTTCCAGACTAGACCCAGCCCAGGATTTTCTACCAGCTTGATTCCTAGTGCCAGCTCGGAAGCCTCCTCCACTGGCCTGACCCTCAAATTCAGGTTTGGAACAGCTACCTGCCTGATCTCCAGCCCCAACCCAGGACCTTCCACTAGCTTCCTTTCCAGTGCCAGCCCAGGACTGAACATTGGACTGGTCCACAAACCCTGGCCTAGACCCTCCATCAGCCTGTTCCCCAGTCGTAGCCCAGGACCCACTGCTGGACTGGTCCACAGGCCCCAGCCTGGACACTCCACTGGCTTGATCTGCAGTGTCAGCCCAGGGTCTTTCACTGGACTGGTCCTCAGACCCCAACCTAGACCTTCCACTGCCCTGGTCACCAGCCTCAGCCCAGGATACATTTTCACTAGCCTGATTATCAGGCTTGGATCTACCACCAAGTGGATCGCCAGTCCCAACCCAGGACTCTCCAATAGCCTTGTCCACAGTGCCAGCCCAGTCGCCAATACTAGCCACATTTCTAGCCCCAGTCTCAGTCCAGGAACCTCCATTTGCCTGAATCCTATCCCCATCCAGGGACCTTCCACTAGCCTGCTTTTGAACTCCAGGCCAGGACCCTCCATTGGCCTTGTTCTCAGGCACTGTCCAGGACCCTCCAATTGCCTCTTCCCCAACCCAGGACACCTCACTGGCTTGGCCCCCAGCCTGGGAACCCTCACTAATCTGATCTCCAGTCCAGGGTTCCCCAATAACCTTGTCCCTAGTGCCAACCCAAGACCCTCCACTGACCTGGTTCTCAGCCCCAGTCCGGGACCCTCTAATGGCCTTGTTCCTAGTCCAGAGATCCCCACTGGCCTGGTCCTCAGATCTATCCCAGGATTCAATACCAACCTTATTCTCATCCCTAGCCCAAGGCCAGGACTTAATGCCAGCCTCATCACAAGCCCCAGCCCAGGACCTAATACCAGACTTATCACTAGCCCTGCTCCAGGACTCAATACTGGCTTCATTCTCATCATCAACCCAAGACATGCTATTCTCCCAGTATCCGTCCTTGGCCTGAAACCTAAATTTGATCCATCGCTCAGAGGCAATCCAATCTTCAATACCAATTTCATTCCAATAATAGTCATGGACTTTAGGCTGTGTCTTTCCACAGGCCAGAGTACCTGTCCCACCTTCACTGTCAGAAGTGAGCATGGCCTTAGGCTTGGGGTTTTTATAGACAGCACCTTCTTCTGTGGTTTCTGCCTTAGATTTGGGTATAGCTTTGTCCTTTGCACCAAGCAACATCTTACTCTGGGAAAGGGCCATGGACTGAGGCTGGCCAGAGACCATTGTATCTTTTCTGGCCTTTACCTTAGATTCAGCATTGGTATTGCACTTAACCTTACTCCTAGCACCAAGCAAGGCCTCACGATGGGAACTGTCTGAAACCTGGGGCGGAGAAGAGCTTGTTGTATCTGCTCCAGCCTTTAACTTGGACACAGTATTGGAACTGCCCCTGACCTTATTCTTAGCACCAAGTAAGGCCTCACCCCAAGAATTAGCCACAGCTTGGGGCTGGGCAGAGCTGGTTGCATCTGCTCTGGCCTCTGCTTTAGACACAGTATTGGGATTATCATCCCTGACCTTATTCTTAGTAACACACAGGGCCTCACCCTGTGAATTGGTCACAGCTTGGGGCTGGACAGAGTCCATTGCATCTGGCCCAGCCCCTGCCTTAGATGCAGCATTGGCATTGCCCTTGACCTTATTCCTAGTAACAGGTAAGGCTTCACCTTGGGAATTAAACACAGCCTGGGGCTGGACAGAGCCTGTTGCATCTGTTTGGTCCTCTGCCTTAGACACAGTATTGGGATTATCCCTGACCTTATTCTTAGTATCAGGTAAGACCTCACCCTGAGAATTAGTCATAGTCTGGAACTGGTCAGAGCCAGTTGTATCTGGCCCACCTCCTGCCTTAGATGCAGCATTGGCATTGCCCTTGACCTTATTCTTGGCACCAGGCAAGGCCTCACCCCAAGAATTAGCCACAGCTTGGGGCTGGACAGAGCCCATTGCATCTGGCCCAGGCCCTGCCTTAGACACAGCACTAGGATTGCCCTTGACTTCATTCTTGGTACCAGGCAATAACTCACCTTGGGAATTAGATACAACCTGGGGCTGGGCAGAGCTGGTTGCATCTGCTCTGGCCTCTGCTTTAGACTCAGTATTGGGATTATCCCTGACCTTATTCTTAGTAACACACAGGGCCTCACCCTGTGAATTGGTCACAGCTTGGGGCTGGACAGAGTCCATTGCATCTGGCCCAGCCCCTGCCTTAGATGCAGCATTGGCATTGCCCTTGACCTTATTCCTAGTAACAGGTAAGGCTTCCCCTTGGGAATTAAACACAGCCTGGGGCTGGACAGAGCCTTTTGCATCTGTGTGGTCCTCTGCCTTAGACACAGTATTGGGATTATCCCTGACCTTATTCTTAGTACCAGGTAAGACCTCACCCTGAGAATTAGTCATAGTCTGGAGCTGGTCAGGGCCAGTTGTATCTGGCCCACCTCCTGCCTTAGATGCAGCCATGGCCTTGCACCTGACCTTATTCCTAGTAACAGGTAAGGCTTCCCCTTGGGAATTAAACACAGCCTGGGGCTGGACAGAGCCTTTTGCATCTGTGTGGTCCTCTGCCTTAGACACAGTATTGGGATTATCCCTGACCTTATTCTTAGTACCAGGTAAGACCTCACCCTGAGAATTAGTCATAGTCTGGAGCTGGTCAGGGCCAGTTGTATCTGGCCCACCTCCTGCCTTAGATGCAGCCATGGCCTTGCACCTGACCTTATTCCTAGTAACAGGTAAGGCTTCCCCTTGGGAATTAAACACAGCCTGGGGCTGGACAGAGCCCATTGCATCTGGCCCAGCCCCTGCCTTAGATGCAGCATTGGCATTGCCCTTGACCTTATTCTTGTCACCAGGCAAGGCCTCACCCTGAGAAATGGCCATACCCAGGGGTGGGGCAGGGCCCTTTGCATCTGGCACAGCCCCTGTTACAGACACAGCATTGGAATTGCCCTTGATCTTATTCTTAGTACTAGATAAGGCCTCACCCAGGGAACTCACTACAGCCTGGTGCTGAACAGAGCCTGTTTTATCTGGTTCAGCTCCTGCCTTAGACACAACATTGGGTTTGCCCCTGACCTTATTCCTGGCACCGGGCAAGGCTTCACCTTGGGAATTTGACACAGCCTGTGACTGGACAGAGTCCATTGTATCTGCTCCAGTCTCTGCCTTAGACACAGCATTGGGATTGCCCTGGAGCTTATTCTTGGCACTAGGCAAGGCCTCCTCTTGGGAATTGGTCACAGCCTGGGGCTGGGCAGAGCCAACTGCATCTGATCCAGCCCCTGACTTAGACACAGCATTAGGTTTGCGCCTGTCCTTATTCCTGGCACCAAGCAAGGCTTTGCCTTGGGAATTTGAAAGAGCCTGGGTCTGTGCAGAACCTGTTGTATCTGCTCCAGTCTCTGTCTTAGACACAACATTGGGATTTCCCCTGACCTTATTACTGGCACCAGGTAAGGCCTCACCCTGAGAATTGGCCACAGCCTGTGGCCAAGCAGATTGCGTTATATCTGTTTGAGGCTGGACAGAGCCATTTGTGTCTGGCCCAGCCCCTACGTTAGACACACCTTTGGGATTACCCCGGAACTTATTCTGGATACCAGACAAGGCTTCATCCTGGGTATTGGCCATAGCCTGAGGCTGACCACAGGGCCTCATTTCTGCCTTAGCCTCTGCCATAGAAATGGCATCAGGGTCTCCTCTGTCATCAGCTTGGGACTTAGCCCCACCCTGAGGCTGTGCATAGGTTTTCATGTCTGTCCTGACCCTGGCCTTTCTTTTGCCTTTGGCTTTGCCCCTAGCCTTAGTTCTAGTACTAGGTAAGGCTTCAACCTGGCTTGTGGCAAAAGCCTGAGACTGTGCCTTTGTGTCTGTCCCAGCCCCTTCCTTAGACATTGTGTTGGCATTGCCTTTAGCATTAATCTTACCATCAGGCAAGGCATCTCCTGGGACACTGGCCACAGATTGAGGTTGTATACAGGACAACATATCTGTTCCAACCCCTAACTTAGAAATGGCATTGGGATTACCCCTGGTCTGAACTCTGGAATCAGGCAAAGCCTCAACCTGAGAATTGACCTTCAGGTTTGCCTTTTCCCCCATTTTAGACATGGCATTAGAATTGTCTCTATCCTTAACCCTGGCATCAGGCATAGTCTTAGGCTGAGAAACAGTCTTCATGTGAGCTCCAGTCACTGCCCTAGTTATGACATTGGTATTTCCCCTTTCATCAACCCTGGCATCAGACATTGCCTCAACCTGTTTCTTGGTCATAGTCTGATGTTGTGTAGAAGCTCCCATATCTGTCTCTGTTCCTGCCTTGTACATGGCATTGGTATTACCCCCAGCATCAACCCTTACCCCAGTCATGGTCTCAGCCTGAGCCTTGGTTATAATCTGAGACTGGGCAGAAGTCCTCATGTCTTCCCCAGACTCTGTTTGATACATAATTTTGCAATTTCCCTTGTCTTCAAGCCCAGCACAAGGCATCTCATCAACCTGGATCTTGGCCACAGACTGAGATGGTGCATAAGACCTTATATCCATTCCAGCTCCTGCCCTGGACATGGTATTAAGATTTCCCTTAGCATCAACTGTGGTACCACACCTTGCCTCAGACTGAGTCTTGGCCACATTCATAGTCTCTTCCAGGGCTCTTGCTTTGGTCTCAGCCACAATTCCAGTCTTGTTTATGGCATTCATCTTGGCTACTTCCCTGGTTATTGCCAAGGCCTCATTCTGTGTCACCAGTACTCTGTTCATCTCTGTCTCTTTTTCAGCAAATATATGAGCTTCCACTTTGGTCTGGGTCATTGCTTCTTTCTTGGCCTCTGCCCTGGCAAATAGTCCACAAGCTTTAGCTTTGGTCTGGGTCACTGCTTCTTTCTTGACTACTCTCTCAGCCTCAGAGTCAGTTTGAGTCACTGCCTCTTTCATGGCCATTTCCTTGGCTTTGATTTTGGTTTCAGCCAGAGTCACTGCCTCTGTCATAGCCATTGTTTTGACCTCAGATTGGACCTCTGCCTCTGCCCCAACCATTGCCTTGGCCTGAGAGTTGGCTTTGGGTCTGCCTCTAGCAGTGGCCTTCGTCTCTATATCAGCCCCAGCCCCACCTCCTGTTCCAGTTTCTGCTTCAGTCTTGACCTTGGATCTAGTCTCAATCTCTGTCCCATCCATGGCTTCACTCGTAGCCAAGGTCTGGGTCTGTACACCAGCCACAGTTTCCATCTTGACTCTAGACCCATTGCTGGCAAGTCTCCTCATACTCTGGGCTCTTCCTGTGGTTAATCTGTAAATGTAATAGCAGGTACCAGCCCATATCACCAGTCCTGCAGTCACCCAGCCTACTTCCTGAATGCGACCCATGTAATCACCCCTGCTGATGCCACAAATAAGGTAGGGGGGATCAGAATGGCTGGGGAAAGAGTGCGATAGGTCTGTAAGGGTGCTGGTCTTCAGCTCAAAGGCCACTACAGCTGTCACTGGAGGTGGACCTAGAAGTGGAGGAAGGAAATGGACTAAAATTTCTCTTCTAATTCTGTGCATCATACAGACAGATACACAGAAGGACAGGAAAGTATAGAAATAATGTGCTTAGTTGGAAAAGAGAAGCATTAGCAAACTCTCTCTCCATCCCCCCCTTTTTTATCACCTCCCCATTTTCCCTAGTACCCAACAATTTTCCCCAAGGTACTTTCATAGACATTTCCTTACACCAAATAAATAGTGGAAAAGAATGGTGGGAGGGCTGACTATGAGTGGGAGAGACTGAGAAGCTCTCAGACCTTGATTTTTTACTGGACCTACTCTGTCACCACTCCCACAGGTCCCTATCCCCATACCAACCTGTATTGATCCAAAGCAGTTCCCTCCTCTTTCCTTCTCTTGATTTGTGATCTACCCGAAAGTAGGTCTATATACTCATGAGATCTATGGACCTAGAGACAGACAGACAGAAAGACAGATGGAAGGACAGATGGGAGTTGAGATTTTGCTCTTCATGTGACTAACATATTATTAGCAAACTATCTATCTCCCTCAGTTCACCCCATTCCCTGTATCAAAATTAAAGTGAGGGTGTGGGGTAAGTGACAGGAATGGTGGGAAAGTTGCCTGGAAAGGGGAGAGACTGAGGATCCTCCAGACTTGACACTGGACCTACTGGATACACAATGGTTTCTACCAACCCACCCTAGAGGTCTACCCAGGCAGACCTTTCTCTTACCAGTCTCTACTGATCAGGGGCAATTTCCTCCTTGTTTCTTTGCTTCCAGTCATCTCAAGCCCTGCAGCAAACCTGCAGGTAGATCTATGAATAAATAAACAAACAGGCGGTAATAGAGACTGAATCCTTCATAAAACACACAAGCACCCTGGTCCCTGACCCCAGTACCTGCCTTGCCAGAGAGCTTGGGTCCAGTTGGCTAATGTGTCCCATTTTATGGTCCCCCCTCTCCTCTTCTTTCAGTCATACTCCAGCCCACCTTTACCCCAATATCCCAAAATGTTTCCTGCACTGAAATCAATATGGGGTGTGGCAACACTGTGGAAATCTGGCAGATTGTAGGAGAAGCAGAAGTGCCATCTACTGAGACCCCCTCAAGTACCAGCCACATTCTGTTCCCACCCTCTCAGACACTGCCCACCATCACACCAACCTCCACGGTTCTAGACAAGTCTCCCCCTCTCCCTTGTTTCCAGTGGTAAACAGCCCTACTGCAGATGTATGGGAAGATCTAGGAACAAAGAGAAAAAAGGGGGAGGTGAATGTTGAGTGCTTGTGGCATTTCAGTAATGAAGACACAGGTCTCAGTAACCCCTCTTATTGGATTTAGAGACCCATTCCCTGGCAGGCAAAACCTTGGGCCTCCCCAGTACTGAAGTAGGAAGGGTGAGAAAGGGAGGCAGGAAAAAATAAAAGGGGAGTGGCATGGGCAAAATCTTTTTAAAACCACCTGTAGCATTCTAGGGCTTCTTCCAAAAGTCCATCATTTCCTTCACCAAGATGTTCAGACTGGCAAGGTATCTGAAAACTGAAGGATGGTGAGAGAGATGGAAGCCCCCGGATCCCATACTCGAGAATCACCATAGCCTACTGCTATCTACTTTCCCTCAAACCCATCTCTAGGAGTCTCCAGCAGTAGAAGAGACAAGGTGTGGGGGGAAGCTTTTGCTTTTGCAAAATCACTATTCCTCCACGGAAAACTTACTATCTCTCTCTCTCTCAAAAATAATAATAATAATAATAATAAGTAATGCTCCTTAATACAACAATTTGTATCTTCTCAATATTATCTGAAGTACCAATTAAATCATCCATAGAAAAATTTGCTATCTTTACTGGTCTTCAGTATAAAATTTAAGTTTAAAGCCCTAAGCTTGGTAAGTAGATGCAGTTTAGGGAAAGTTCCCTAGCTAGCTTCACCCCTTATTCCAACTAGATAGTGGCTGCCGAAGTCCCTGTCATATAGAATTCACAACGCACTTGGGTGGTTCACAGCCAGTGCCCATGCTCACACTAACCTTCACAGATCCGATGCAGCTTTCTCTACTCCTTCCTTTACCTCGCCACAAACTGCAACACCGAGCTACACAAGACAGGAATAAAGGCACTGGGTGCTTGCACCAGCACCCTGGACACAGATCCGAATACTCAACCTGTCTGAATTCAGACCCTTGTTATCAAACTTCCCTCCCAACATTCAGGTAAGCCTCCCCCACCAACGCAGGGCATCCAGTCACTAAAGCCCACCATTTTCTCTGCCAACACCACCGTGCAAATCCCTTCCACTGAAATGAGCAGGAAGCTGAACAGACATGAGCGGTCAGTGATTAGAGTCAGGGAGGAAGGAGCATCACAATCTCGATATTTCCCTCTTGAGACACCCCACCAGCTAAGCCCAAGGTTCCCCTCCACACACTAGATGGGGGGAGTGGGTTCGGGAGATTCAGTGGGAAGGCTCCTGATAATTGAATCCGCATTGTCCTTCACCCCTGGTTGCAGCTACTGGGGTTGCGGCGCGGCTGCCGCCCTGGGCCCCGCGCGTCCCGAGCCCTTACCTGCTCCGCTTTTCCTGGGCCCGATGCCAGCCTGCCTGCGCAGGGCAGCGGGGAGCTGGTACCCAGAAGGGTGTGATGACTGCACCGCAAGCTGCGTCGCTCTGCAGCTCTTGGTCACGTGAGGGCTTGCGTCACCAAGGAGCTCTCGCGCTCCCACCCTCCCCCCGCCCTGCTCCCACTGGCCAGAGAGGAGTTTGACAGGGTCTTCCCCCCACTCTGAACGCAGAACTCCCCCTCCAAGTCTCTGCTGTACCTCCCTGTCACTCAGTTGGGTCCTCTCAAACCTGAGATCCTACAAGTGGCCTCACCTCCCTGCAGTTGGGATTTATTCTTCCTTGGTTACCTGCGAGGGTCTGCATCCCCCCACCCACTCCCAGGCCTTGACCAGACGCTTCTTTGAGGAATCCCCTCTCCCTTAGACTATAGGAATGATGCTCCCCATCCAGTACCTTGTTGCACCAAACAAGGCTAAGAAAGGGCTGTCAGGAAAAGAAGCAGAGAGTGGAAGGAGAGGCTTAACTTTCTTCTTATGCTCCTTTTTTTTTTTCTTTTAACATTGCATTCATTGTTTTTGTAAATCCGGAAATTCAGTCAAGCCATTTTCATTTGACATTTAGAAATGAGGTCGTAAAAATAAAAAAGACTCATTTTTTTACATTATTTTTGCACCACATTAAAAAATGTTTTGTAGTTGCTATAAACGATTTCACAGTTTTCAAAACAGACTAGTAATTATTGACATTTTAAATACAAAATTTTCCTAAACAAAATTAGCACATTTTTAGTGTGATCTATAAATTAATCTTTTGGAAAGACACTCAGTTTTCTAATCTTGGCAGATTTCCACAAGTGATTTACAGTCTTTTGAAGTTCTGGCTGAACTTATGCTCTTGTAGCAGGTGTCTGAGAACTTCTTCATATATGACTCCTGGATGATTGAATAAAGATCCAGCTCCAGATTAGCCTAGTGCCTGAAAACTAGTGATTTCCTTGATCTACCAGTTTTCCATTCAAGAGGTTTTATTTGAAGTTTTCACATAAGCATGTGGTCAAAGTAGTCTGTCTCATCACACCCTGGACCAACTGCTTACCCCACTGATGGAAATGAGGCTTAGTATGTGGAGTTTTCATTTAATCATGATGCTGGTGTGTTATCTCCGCTATCTGTCATTCATGTGCTATATCACCCTAGCAGTAGTTAGTGTTTAGCATGTTCCAGTAGAGGTAGCAGTGAGTTTGTGGTGTCTGTAAATGACTGCAACACCTCAGAGACCCATGTCATTTTTCCCTCACAGAAAGCAGTTTATGAGAGCCCAAGCAGTTTCCAGGTAAAAGAGGCCTTTTGTTACAATTTCACTGCACCACCCATTCAAACCCTTCAGAATAATCCCAGAATTTAGGGACAAAGTATGCAGAAATTAGTCTCTAGACATCCAGCTGTCCCCACTGGGGAGTCATACCCTAAATATAGACCATTCAGGCAGCCTCTTTCTTTGAACTTTGAAATATGACACCCCAGCAGGAAGCTCCTCACGTGAAAGGCCCCTGTGTGTAGGAGGGCCCCTCTAGGAGGTGAGCCAGGAGCCCAGAGTGACATAGAAACTTATTCATGGCTTTTCAGAAGTCAATTGCCCATGACTAACTTATGTTCTTCACCCAAGGGAAAGATTCAGAAATCGATTAACTAAACATTTAAAACTTCATGTAAACAAACAAACAAAGCCCCAAGCATAGGATGTCAAATGGCTAATTTATAATAATCAAAAAACTCTTACAAATCACTAATAAAATAATAAACAACTTGATAGAAAAATATGCCCATGACATGAATGGGTTTATTCACAGAAAAGAAATATAAATTATTGATAAAAATATGAAAAGACACTCAATTTCAAAGAAATGCACGTCGAAACAACTATGTATTACCATGTTTCAGCTAGGAGTTTGTAAAAATTTAGAAATGTGATGATATTGTTGACTGGTTTGTGGGGAAATTGGTACTTCCATACTCTGTTGGAGGGAGATACTCTGATAAAATCTTTTACCGGAGAGCAATTTGTCAAAATCAATTGAATAGTAAATACAGGGTGGCGCAAAAGTAGGTTTACAGGTGTTCATATCGAAAATAATACAATAATTAAGAAGAAGTATGGGGCGGGAACAGGTAAGCGATTAACCAAAGGACTTGTATGCATGCATATGAGCATAACCAGTGGACACAGACAGTAGGGGGGTGAGGGCATGTGCTAGAGGGTGGGAGCAGCCAGGGAGAGGTCAATGGGGGGAAAAGGAGATTTATGTAATACTTTAAACAATAAATAATTTTTTAAAAAAGAAACAATACAAGAATAAACCCTGGCCCTAGCCTGCGGACTGAAAGGTCCCAGGTTCAATTCCAGTCAAGGGCACATGCGTAGGTTTTGAGCTCAATCCCCAGTAGGGGGAGTGCAGGAGGCAGCCAATCAATGAGTCTCTCTCATCAATGATGTTTCTATCTCTCACTCCCTTCCTTTCTGAAATCAATAAAAATATATTTTTTAAAAAGAATAAACTCTGTTTCTCATGCTCACAACTGTAAACCTACTTCTGCCAAACCCTGTATCAATGTCTCACAAATTCTTTAACCCAGCAATTGTATTCCTAGGAAATAAGCCAGCCTACACATAAACAATTTCATAATATAAGTGCTTGTAAAGGCTTAAAAGAACTGAATCAATATAAAATGTCCATCAACAAAGGAAATATTAAATACATTATGTTAAATCTATACAGTATAGTTAATTTTAAAAGATTTAGGAAGATTAAAAATGGCTGTGGAGTAAGTGGAAGCTCACAAACATGCTCCCAGGACCAAACTAGAATTACAACTAAAATACAGACAAACTTCCTAAACGATCAACTGAAGACTCTCTGGAGAGAACCCTGATAACCAAGGATAGAAAGTGAAGATTCCATAGGAAGAGTGGAGGCACAAAATGGCATGTCGGGCTCCAACAGACAACAGCTGAAGTATTGGATAGATATCTCAGCTGGGGGGGGGGGGTTGCCACTGAGAACTTTGGGGTCTAGTTCCCAAGCTGGGACCCCCAGCAGAGAGCACTAGAACTGAGAAAGGTGCCCACATAACATCTGGTTGTGAAAAACAGCAGGATTGCTGTCTGCCAGGAAGAGATAGCTATAAATGCAGGCACCCTCTCAAAGGGCCAACACACAAAATTCTGTGTGCAGCCACTCACCTTGTGCTCTGGCAGAGGGAGGGCAGAGTGGGCTGGAGCTGTATAAACACAAGCCATGGTTGGGGGATCCAGTGATAGAACTCAGAAGGCAGATACCAGGATACCTGTGCTGAGTCACTCCTCATGCTGTGGAGGTCATCTTTCTCAGGCAAACCTGAGCTATCCTGCTGTTTTTGCCTGGGGAGAAGATAGTTGATGAACCCTATTGGAAAATCCCCTGCCCCTCTTGTGGAGTTTCTGAGGCCCATTAAGAGACTTGGATCCCCACTGCAGACACCATCCCAGACTGCTCAGCAAGGCAAAATCCAGCAGGACCCCAAGCACCTGCAGCTGACACCTGTGGGACCAGCTCCATGTGGGAAGAAACTACAGCCTAGAACAGGGTCAATCAAGGCTTGAGATTCAAGGCAGACCTCTGGGCTAAGGAGTCCCCAACCATTGGATAGCTGGCATGAACATTGGGGTTGAAACTCACTGGCAGCAAGTCAGAAGGGAGATCCCTCCCACAAACAGGGCATCAACAATCAAGTCCCAATTACAGCAGGAAAACCCAAACAACACACACAAGGGGCATTCCTAGAGCATCCAGCTCAGGTGAACAAAGAGACTACACCACTGGACTCTTCAAGACACCTTCTACGTAAGGCCATCCCACAAAGACTGGGAGGCATAGCAGTTCTATCTAACACATAAAAGCAAATATAAAGAGACAGCTAAAATGGAAAAACAAAGAAACAACCCTAAAATGAGAGAAAAGAAAGAAGCTTCAGAAAAATAACTAAATGAGATGAAGGCAAGCAACCTATTAGAAATAGCTTTCAAAGCAATGATTATAAAGATGCTTAAGGAACTTAGTGCAAATTACAACAGCATGAGAAGGGGAATAGAGGCCATGAACAAGAACCAGACAGAAATGAAGAATGATATATCTGACATGAAGAACACACTGGAAGGTATTAAAAATAGATTGGATGATGCAAAGGACCAAATCAGCAATTTGGAAGACAACATAGAAATAAATACCCAGTTACAGCATCAAATAGAAAAAAGAATTAAGAAGCAGGAAGATAGCTTAAGGAAGCTCTGGGGCAACATGAAACATAACAACATCCACATTACAGAAATACCAGAAGGGACAGAGGATGAGCAAGGAACAGAGAGCCTGTTTAAAGAAATAATGACAGAAAAGTTCCCCAACCTGGTGAAGGGAAATGCTACACAAGTTCAGGAGGCACAGAGAGTCCCAATCAAGATGAACCCAAAGAGACCCACACCTAGATACATCATAATTAAAATGGCAAATGATAAAGACAGTGAAAGAATCTAAAAAGCAGCAAGATAGAGAGAGAAAATTACATACAAAGGAGTTCCCATTAGAATATCAACTGACTTCTTAAGAGAAACACTTCAGTCCAGAAGGGAATGGCATGAAATACTCGAAGTAATGAAAAGCAAGGGCCTAAATCCAAGACTACTGTATCTAGTAAGGGTACCATTTAAAATTGAGTGTGAAATAAAAAGCTTTCCAGACAAAAAGAGGTTAAAGAAGTACATTACCACCAACCCAGCAATGCAAGAAATGTTAAAGGGACTGCTTTAAGAAAAAGAAAAGGAGAAAGAAGGGATCATAGGCATAAAGAAAATAAAAATGGCAATAAATAAATACCTGTCAATAATAACCTTAAATGTAAATGGACTAAATACTCCAGTCGATCCAGAGTTCGGCTGCTAACCCAGAAACACCGGATCTGGGACAGTGTGACTACGTGGAGCCCTGCTTCTTCTCACGGAAAGGTCAGATTTCTCCTGAAGCAGAGAGAGAACTACATAACCAAATACCTGGAGAAGAGAGATCATGGGGACACCAAGAACCAGCCCACATATGAAAGAAAAACAGGCATCACCAGAAAAGGAAGTAAACA